AACATAGACGTGCCTCTGAAACTTCCTCCAGGTGACCACTCCGAGCACCATCGCTGGGCATGTGAGGCCTCTGTGTTTGTCTTAAACACACATGCATGCACAGAGAAATGCACACACACACGCACACACACGCACACACACGTTCACACACACACATGCACACATGCATGCACATAGAAGTGCGCACACATGCACATGCATACACACAAATATATGCATGCGCACACATGCACACACAAGCATGCACACATGCACACAAATGCATGCATGCATGGCACACGTGCGCACACAGAGAAATGCACAAGCACCCGTGCACATACANTGCACACAAATGCATGCATGTATGGCACACGTGCGCACACAGAGAAATGCACAAGCACCCGTGCACATACATGCACACACAAATGTGTGCACAGGTACATATGCACAAGTGTGCATTCACGTGCGCAAGCGCACACGTGCACACACAAATGCATGCACGCACACAGACACACAGACACGTGCACACACAAATGCATGCAAGTGTGCGCACACAAGCACACCAGTGCATAAGTGCATGCATGTGTGCGTGCACACAAACATGTGTGTGCATGTGTGTGCACACAGGCGCACATACAAACACATGTATGTGCTCAGGTGTGTGCACGCACATGCACACACCCTGTTTGATAACATTACCTCTCATTTGATAACATGTTGTGCTAACCCTGTGCCTCTTCTTTTCATTCACTTAATGAACAAACAAGACCATGTGTGTTTTGTACCTGAGCACATCCTCTTGTTAGAAACACACTGTTTTCTGAAAAAGTCATCTTTCTTCTCAAAGTCAGAAATGACTCTGCTAAAGGTTGGAAGAGGAAGACTTCTCTCCCCTTCCTTCCCACCCTCTCACCCCCTCTGACACCCCATTAGGACTTCCTTCCGTCAGGGCCATGTCTGCTTTTCTCCAGAGCTGCTTGCCTAATCCTGGAAGGGCACTTAGAGGTGAGAGTTTGAGTCCCTCCTGCACCCTGATCCTCACATGCCCTGGTGTCGGCCCCTAGGACTCCTCTGTGCATACGACTCCCCTCCCATTCTGTCCGTTTTGTCCCTGGATTCCTTCTCGTGTGGCGTAGGCCTCACCTTCTACATCCTCACTGTCGTCCTCTGGGGAATTAGTTCCCTCTGTTTTTGGACTTAACGGTGACTTGTTTCTCTTAGGACATTCTTTCCCCCATCTCTTTCCTGATGGAACTCACTCGTTTTCCTGCACTCCACACATCAGGAAGGGAGAGTGAATTCCTCGCTGATGTTCCTATTTTCCTTGTGAAGCGTAAGGTAGAGACATCTGCAGAGAGTGAGCGGTGAGAGGGGCGCCCAGCGATGCCGGCAGTGGGGGAAGCTATGAACGGGCCACTCAGACACAGAGGCAGGAGAGCGAACGTAAAGGAGTCGCTCGCTGAGTGGCAGGAGGCTGCTGAGTTTACAAGACCAATCGCTAAGCATCTCCATCACTCTCACCAGCTTAAAATGTGCTCAGCTCTCCTCCACTTTTAAACATATGTGGGACCCACTGTTGTATGGTGGTGTTGCAGCTGTGTTACGCTTCACAGCCAAGCTTATTGACCACTGCGCCCAAGACTTTCTTATTCCACCACGACCAAGCTCTACCTTGAAGGACCTCACGGTCCTTCACACCTGACTTCTCACTTGTCCTTTCATTTGCACTGGACTCACTTGCACTTATTCGAATGTCTTACTCCACTGACATCTGTAATATGAATCCCTCAGTGCCCCCTTTTTCTCTGACCTCACCCTCTCACTCACCTGCGCTGGCTGCTCTCCCACGGCCTGCCTGTGCTGTGTCGGAGGCACCCACGGGTCTGTACCTAGTCCTTGGTTCATTAAACTACAGGATACACACTGGTGACTCCAGACACATACTTGCTGAACATGGAGTTCTTTCTACAAGCACATCAATTTCACTCAGCATTTTCTAAAGTGAATTCAGTCTCGTCCCTGCTAAAACAGAGTGTTTACCCCCCTACCTGTCCTACGCTGGTTAATAGATCATTACCCACTGAGTCATCCAAATTTGGGCATAATCCTGGGCTCCTTCAGGGCCTTCTGCCGCACAACTCCAGGGGGCGCCATTCATAGAAGAGCGCCATCTCTCCTCACCCTGGACGTTCAAGGTCTCACCTATTCCACCTTCATATTATCTTTGAACTTTGCTACTTTTCCTGAATTCTCACTACTGTGCCAAAGCTCAGATATTCAGGATCTCTTGTCTAGACTACCCCCGGGAGATGCCTACCTGGGTGTCCTCCCTCAGTTTTACTTCACACTGATGCATATCTACCAACATAGATCCTGCTAATAGAAAAGTGCCTAGAACTTCCAAGTAGTTTCCTTTACCTACATCATAGAGTCCAAATGCCTTGGCTTGATCTATGAAATCCTCCATGATCCAGCCCCTGCCTGTGTTTAAAACAAAACATTAGAGAGCGGGTCTAATATTTGTTGGGAACCGACCATAACAGGAATGACTGTAAACATTTATATTTTGTTTGATATCAATGACAACACAAACATGGCCACATTTATCTTCATTTTCCAGCTGAGGAAACCAAGGTTCATAGAAATCTGAAAGTGGTGCCTACACTCGCAGAGTTGTAAAGTTCTAGTCTCAGGATAGGAAGCCACGCTCTGAGCCTATTTTTCTCACCGAGTCACCCTGTCTCCTACATATTCAGCCCCTGCCCCAAATGCACCTATGTCCCGGCCGCCCTGCCATCCTACAGACGGGGCAGTTCTGTGCTCTGTGCCTGTCACGTGCTGTGTGTTCCCGATGGCAACACTCGCCTCACTCGGGTCACCGAGGGTCTGGGCCAGAACCCCAGCTGGAATCAGGAAGGACGCTGCGGGGAGCAGGCCCTCCTTCCCGGGCTCACGGCACCGGCCTCGGCTCAAGCCCCTGAGCCTTCGCTTCTCCTGAGAGTAAAGTCCCCAGGAGGAGCCCTGGCGGTCTCTCTTCACCCCACCAGGCTCCTGGCACCGCCTCACTGCCATCGGAAGGTACCTTCTGATCAGTGACTGACTCCTTAAGCGAGCGCCCAGCGGGAACCTCTGCCGCTTGCGCCGCGGAGGGAAATCCGCGCCCGAAACTAAGCCGCACTTCTCGCCTCCCTGGGGTGCTGACAGCACCCAAAACTCGGAAGGGAAATGTCTCCCCGGTAAGACAGGGGTGAGCCGGAGACAGAGGGACTGTGGGGGCGCCTCTTGTTCCCCACGGAATGAAGCAAGCGGAGGAACAGTCGGGTGACGCCCTTTCCAGGAGCAGGGAGCGACTTTCTCTAGGACTTTCTGAGATGGAAAGAACAGGGTTGAATAAAAGAGGCGCGAGGCGATGGATGGGCCTGAGACAACGTTCCCTTTTTGCTCAACTACCTTTGCCAAGGATACGGAAAGGGGGAGAGGCTCCAGGAGAAAAGGAGAGGCCGACCCATCGCTTTGAGGAAAGGGGAAACCGTTACTGATGAGCGCGCTTCCCTCTCCCTCCCCGGGCCGGCCGGCGGGCCAGAAGGGCGGGGAGGCAGAGGGCAGGTAACGCCTGAGGGTAACAAACGGGCTCAACCTGAGCGGCAGGGACTGACTCTGCGCCCAGACCTTAACGCATGAGGTGAATTTGTGACCCCGTAACTTATGTCTTCAAATACAAAAGGAAGTGACGGGAGGCTCCGAACGCATGTCACTGACAGACAAGCCCGTGCCCAGGCAGCTTGGAAGCGAGGGCGCAGCCTGGGGGCAGGAGGACAAGTGTCCAAACCTGAAGAAGATCCCCAGAGTTGAACTGCTTAAGGACCTTGTCTTCCCTTCGGATTCTATTTTGCTTTTCTGATTTTAACTAAGAAACAGCACCAAAAGTAATTGGCTTTTAATAACTTTAGTATAGCCCTGGCTGGGTAGCTCAGCTGGTTCGAGCGTCATCCAGATACGCCAAGGTTTCGGGTTCGATCCTGGGTCAGGGCGCGTGCAAGAAGCAACCAGTGACTCCATGGATAAGTGAACAACCAATGGATGTGTCTCTCCCTCTCTCCCTTCCTCTCTCTCTCTCTCAACTCAATCAGTAAAAAATAACTTTGGTGCAAGTTGCGGGAGGACGTCTCACTAACTGGGGACGGATTCTAGGTCTGGATGTTCTTTTCAGGGACAGAGCCTCGGGAAAATGCTCTGGGGGTCCGGACAGTCACGTGAACTTAGGACGCACTCGGAGATCATGAGGGAAAACCTCCTGCAAACTACAGTAAGTTGACACAAGTGTTCTGGGACCACGGTATAAAATACTACACTCTGATGTTTCCCCCTCAAACAATGTCAGTGTCCTCTGTAATGAATTGTTCTCTTAGTTCCATAAAATTCGTAGCACTTACAGAATGAGAGATGACTCACCCGGTTCCACACAGCTCAGCTCACATTTGTGAGGCCCCACCAGAAAACCCTGCCTTCAGGGAAGCCAGTGAGCGAGCCGTGAAAAGTCAACAGTTACCTAATTCTCTGGGAAACAATGCAGTTGTGGCAGTGGGGCCACGGAGCCTCGACCTCGTTTGCCTGGGCTTTCTGCAGGGACTTCCTCTCCCCGGGAAGACACTGCCAGTAAAGGAAGAGTGGGATTTACATACATCCACCCGCCTCGCTCTGAGTCACAGCCTGCAGGCTTGAGACATCCCGGGAAACCCCTGCTTAGGAGAGAAGTCACGGTTGCTGTGCTTATAACCTCATTCTGCGAAATTCAAGTCCAGGGGCGCTTCCGTTCACTTCTGTTGGAGAAACGATTGCCATTACTTCCCACCTCGCGCTCGCTGCGTCTGTGAGCTTGTTGAAATTCTGTATACTCGGTCTCCCTGGAAAAGACACCCTAAGAGACATCTTCTTCCCTCTTTGTTTTTTTTTTCTTTCTGCTGTCCAAGCCACCAGGAGAAGCAGCTCCCACGGCACATCCTGCGCAGGGCGCGAGTAGAATGAGAGCTGCAGACGGGGCCTCGGAGCCCGCGGAGGTAAGAGCCCACTCCCGGGCGGCGAGGAGAGTGGAAGCGGCCAGTGCGCGTTCTTTAGCTGACACCTGCTCTGCGTTTTTCAACAGTGCTATTCAATAAGGAGACAGTATCTGGGAGACCGTTGCGTTTCCTCTGACACCTCGGAGCTACGTGTCTTCTTTCACAAAGCGAGAGATTAAACCCAGTTCTCTCAGCTTCCCAATTCTGTGGGTTTCATATTTTGCTCTTGATTTAGAAGAATTCGAGTCAATGTAAAATTTAAAAAGGATATTATATTAATGTGGTTGGAAATAAAATGTATTATAGCAATAAAGTAACCATAGTAGAATATATATATTTATATATATAAATATATATATATATAAGTATATATATTTATATATATATATGTTTTCAGTATCTGTTGTAGAAACCAGTAACCAAACAAAGACTATGGTACTAAAACTATATATTTGGAATTAGTACCATAGTCTTTGTTTCGTTGCTGGTTACTACAACAGATAACGAATGAATGAATGAATGTGCTTTCTTGAAGTGTTTTTGAAGAGATAACCAAGACACAATAGGAAACTCGGTGAGACTCACTTGCTCATCTGGGTATCTAATTTAGCAGTGTCAGAACTCGCCTGTCTTCGAAGGTGGTCTTGGTATCATGGTAAATGAGAGGGAAGTGCCCAGATGCTCTGAACACAGGTTAAATTTTTTAGGGAATGATTATTACATAACTGGGCCCTTAGTAGGACCAATGACTAAAAATCTGTGTGCTTCGTGCAATATCAGTTGCCTTCAATAGCAACTGGAAAGCAAAGCGAACATAAATGAAAAGATCCTCCAAAATGTTGTATAACAGAATTTGCTTCATTTTAACACACACCTGAGACGTAGGAACCCTGGTAAAATATTAATCTCCAGAGACACTTCTGGTGATATGTTTAAGGCTTACAAGCCATTCCTGTTACTGTTTCTCTCTCTCTCTCTGTCTCTCTCCGCCCCTCTCTTCTTCCTCTCCCTCCCACAATTATATCTCGATTTTCAAAAACTCTTACTTATAAAATAAAAATTAAGGCTCAACATAGTTTGTATTTTTTTTCAGAGAGAATTATAATATGGCAAAAAAAAAGAATGCCCCCCCTCTGATTACTCCTAATGCGGATNGTATCTCGCTTTTCAATAACTCTTACTTATACAATAAAAATTAAGGCTCAACATAGTTTGTATTTTTTTTCAGAGAGAATTATAATATGGCAAAAAAAAAGAATGCCCCCCCTCTGATTACTCCTAATGCGGATTCCCAGAAGGCAGGGTCATACAAATGCTTGCTGATCCCAGATTATTTTTGGTTCTATATCACAAATAGAGAAGAGATTCTTTAAATACCCCAAATCCATGCCCCCGGGCATGGTGTAAACATGGGGGACCCTTGAACTTTAGCATGAATCATGATGACCTGGGGAATTTATTAACAAGTGAGGTAGGAGGGTAGGTGGCACAGAGGGATTTTAGGGCAGCGAAGCTGCTCTGTGTGATACCATAGCGACAGACGCGTGGAAAGAAAATAGAGGCGCTCTGGCTCCGTTTCAGAAACGCCGGGCAGTGCCCGGGATGCCCTGTGGTTCGCCGGCTCCCACATAGTGGGTGCGCCCTTGTGTGAGACCCACCGGTCAGGCGTCCCCTCGCTGCGGGCTCGACGCACTGAGCGGGGCTGACTCACGGCTTCTTCCAGATCAGAGATGCCCAATATTTAGTCTGCTCTGGTCTGGAGTGAGGCCAGTCTCTTGGAAGCTTCCCAGAAAGGGAAAGGCCAGGTGCAGGACCCAGCATACCCGCCACCTGGGTGTGATGTCACCTCCGGCACTCAGCCAGGCAGCGCGAGGTCAGAGCAAGGACGCTCGTTCCCAACTTGACCACGGGAGGACGTCGCTCTGAAAAGGCCGTTTGAATTGTACATGGATCCGAAGAGGCGGAAGCTAAGAAAATGAAGACCAGCATCCCTGGAGATGCAAAGTAGCATCAAGCCCTAAAACGCTGAGTGAAACACGGGGAAATAGAGAAAGGAAAGGAAGGCGGTCTTGTAAGTCGTTTCTAATGAAAGTCCTTGAAACCCCAGGGCGATTGCAAAAGACCGCTTCCTGTGGGCGGCTCTGCTGAGGGCCAGCGTGTTCCGAACGTGTTTCTTCATTGTCCGTGGGTATCTTTAAGCAATTTTATGGTCCACAGTAACCACTGAGCCTGAAACCCAACCGCAGATTTAGGGACTATCACCCAATTCATTGTATCGCCGTGTGGCTCAGATGAGACAGTAGCAAGACTGCTGAGTTAGAGAAAAAGGGCTGGTTACAACGACACAATACCCGGCATTCTGTGCCCATCCCACCTCTATACCAGATAGCTGACTTGTTATAATTCTAGAATCAATTTTCTGCCTCTTAACTGTACGTGTTGGTCTTTTTTTCTTGCTGGTTCTGTCACTCCTCTGACTTTCACCAGGGCCGCTCTTCAGATCCTGGTCACACCTACAAAAATGACTCTTTAGGAACGTTTACTATGTAATTGCCTAACATGTTCCCATGGGATTTACCAGATTTCTATGGGCATTATGCTCTGAATTTTCCTTTTTTAAAGAAGAATTGACATCCAAGCTTCTAAAATCCTAATTTCTTGTTTGCCTATTACATAGATACTTTATAATTTATTAGATAATTATTTGGTAATTAATTTATATAAAGGAGTCTGGAGTGAAATATAAAGCTTACTCACGAGCAGGCCTCTGTGAAGGGCGGTGGTGTGAGGATCGCTACTGCTAGAATACGACAGCGTTTTTATAAGTCGCAGTGTGAGAGTCTGCCAGATGCATGGAGTTGGTGAGGGACAGTATTTCTCCTGTTTATTTTATAGTTTATCTTGTTTTACTCTTTTTTTTCCTTTTTCTTTCAAGTGTGCCAACGCCTCAAGAGGAAAGAACTCAACAAATTCTCTTGAACAAAAGATAAGGTGCTTGGAAAAACAGAGGAAAGAGGTAATTTTGAAACATGAGTTAAATCAACATGTGCCATGGATTGAGGCTGAGAATAAGGCAGAGAGTGTATTACCCAGAGACACCTTTAATTTTTGTTTTTGGGTCACAGGCACTATCTCTGGGGTCCGGACTTCATTAACCTGAGAGCAAATTCTATTTCTTAGTCACTACTTATCTCCTATGTTGTCTCTCCGTGTTTGTGCAGATGAATGACAGTCATAAATCCCAGAACGATGATCTTAATTTCCTCAACACTTAGGCGTTTCCTCCCCATGGGCCAGGTGAGCTTATCACCTGTGCCCCGTGTGCCTTGGGACTTGACACACCTTGAAACTCAGGCTGTCAGAGGCTTTAAGCATAGTTGACGTAGGCGCTGTGACTTCACGAGTTGGGCAACGGCCGCTGGGGGTTAAGGAGCGTCACCGTAAAAAATGTTTGTTTCTAAGATGTCAACGGGAATGTGACCGATACTATTTTTTTAAGCTCTGCCTTTCTGAGTTTAATGAATGTTAGAGCTTCTCTATCCCTCTCGACAGTGGATGAGTGAGAGGCGTAGCGAGTTTAGCGCTGTGTATGTTGTCAGTTTTGTAACTGCTCCTCTCAACTGTTCTATATATTGCACCCTTCCTATCGTCTCCTCTGGTGCCTTCTACTCCCCTTTGATGCTGTGTAAAAGTCTGCGCCCTTCTGGGAAATTCCTGAACTATACCAGAGCCATGTTATCACAGCACAGAAAAGGTAACCCCTGCAATGCCAACAGAGCAGGTACATACTGTTACAGTCTTATAATAAATACCTGCATCTATTTCCAGCATAAGAATGACCTGCCACTCCAGATTAGATAGTTTGTTTTGTAATTAGGAGAAAGCCTTTCTACTTTTTTGTCATTGCGCTATCTTCCGATGTCTGTTGCCAGCGTCGGAATTTCTCTTAATGTAGAAAGTCGCAGACTCCCCTTACAGGAAAACTAAAACACAGGTCATAGTGCGTGTGTTTTTTTCTCTCTTCCTTCTATTTATCACATAGTTTTAAAACTTTCAAATTGCTTGCGACCTAAATTATTTCTAAGTATTGTCTTATGACAAAACTAGTATTCCTTGAAAATCTATTCTTTCAAAAACTTGATATTATCCATTTGTTGGTCCGTATTGCAAATCATGCGTGAATTTTAAAAAGCCCATTATTGCAAGCGAATGATGCTCAGTTAATGGGGTTTGGAATTTGTTAGTATAAATTCTGCTTTTAAAAAGCTGGGAGAAAGATTTCATTATTATAATCAACATAAGCACATAGAAAAATACAAAAAGGTTTGAAAAAAGACCTTTTATATTTTAATGGATCTTACAGAAAACCATCAATACTTACAAATTTTTACCAGATTCTGGTTGGATTAACCAAAGAAGATAAAAATTCACATAACTAAGCAAAGCTAAAAGTGCTAATAACCTGTTCCATGGACTAGTCAAGGTTTACCAAAGACGATGGTTTGTCGGAAATACTGTTCGCCCAGGGCTTCCAAAATCTTAGTAACATCTAAACGTGATTTCATCTGGGCCACATTTCCAAATGGGCAGAATCTCTTTTGATTTACCAAACGTTAATGATTTCAGCTCCTGGAGGTGAACCAGCAATGGGATCAGCAATTTCGAAGCATGAAAGATCTGTATGAGAGGAAGGTAGGCGCTGTCGCCGTTCGGGATTTAGGTCAGTCACCGGGGGAGCCGAGCGCGAAGGTTCTGGGGGTTCCCGGTGCAGAGCCAGCTGCTGAGTGAGGGGTGCCGAGTGCACCACTGGCCTCTCGGCACCGCAGACGGATGCCCAGTGCCGGTGAGTGGTCTTGAGTGTGGCAGAAACGGCGACCCTGGGCATCGCCCCTAGAGCAGTGGCCGGAGTCCTCAGGCCCGCGTAGCAGGGCGCACAGGGCACACAGGGCACCGGCCTCGGGGCGCCTAGCGACACAGGCACATCAGGTTACCTGTGAGGTGAGGGGCGGTTTCAAGTTCCTCCCGCTTCGCACACGCTGGCTCCGATTCCTCGCCTGGGCCGCACGCGCTTCTCCACAGGCACAAACAGGCGGCAGCAGCGGGGCGTCCCCTCTTCTCTCAAAAGCTTGTTCTCTCTCAGGCAGCTGCTGCTTGGCTGAGAAAGACTATTTTGGAGAAAATATTTCTGAATAGTTCTAAGTCAGTTTAGAATTTAAAATCATTCCACATTGTAAGAGAGAAAAGAGAAAGTGAAATCCCCAGATATTCGGAATGAAGAGACCTGACCTCCAGCGAGTAATGCGGCCGGATCGCGCTTTGGCGCCCGGAGGTCCTAGGTTTAGAAAGAGCAGGGCACGTTCCCACCCCCCGGGCCGTGGTCAGGCCACCTGGTCACACCGAGCCTGGGGCAGCTCTAGAGCCCCCATTTGTAACGAACGCGCTCCTGGGAGAGCGGGAGCGTGCTGCCCGGGGGGG